CCCCTTTTAGCATTTCTTGTAGGACAGGTCTGGTGTTGATGAAATCCCTCAGCTTTTGTTTCTCTGGGAAAGTCTTTATTTCTCCTTCATGTTTGATATATGTAGTATATAATATTCTAGGGTTAAGGTTTTTTTCCTTCAGCACTTTGACTGTCATACCACTCTTCTCCTGCAAAGTTTCCACTGAGAAGTCTGCCAGAAGATGTATTGGAGCCCCTTTATATGTTATTTTTTTCTTTTCTCTTGCTTCTCTTAGGACCTTTTCTTTATCTGTGACCTTTAGGAGCTTCAGTATTAAATGCCTGAGGTAGTCTTGTTTGGGTGAAATCTGCTTGGTGTTCTATGACCTTCTTGTACCTGAACGTTGATATCTTTCTGTAGGTTTGGAAACTTCTCTGTCATCATTTTTTTTTTTTTTAATTTTTTTTTTATTTCAGCATATTACAGGGGTACAAATGTTTAGGTTACATATATTGCTTTTGCCCCACTCAAGTCAGAGCTTCAAGCGTGTCCATCCCTCTCTCTCATTATTTCTTTGAATAAATTTCTACCCCGATCTCTCCCTCTACCTCCTCTTTAAGGCCAATCTCTTAGATTTGCCCCTTTGAGGCTATTTTCTAGAACTCATAGGCATGCTTCATTCTTATTTTTTCTTTTCTCTTTTTTCTCTTCCGATTGTGTATTTTCCAATAGCCTGTCTTCTAGCTCACTAATGCTTTCTTCCACTTGGTCAATTCTGCTGTTGGGAGACTCTGATGCATTTCTCAGTTTGTCAGTTGATTCTTAAGCTCCAGAATTTCTGCTTGACTTTTTTTTATTTCAATCTCTTTGTTAAATTTCTGTGATAGGCTTCTGAATTCCTTCTCTGTGTTGTTTTGAAGTTCATTGAACTTCTTCAGGACACCTATTTGAATTCGGTGTCTGAAAGGTCACGTATCTCCATCATTCCAGGATTGGTCACTGGTACCTTATTTAGTTATAGTTTGATGAGGTCATGTCTTCCTGGATGTTCTTGATGCTTGTGGATGTTCGTCGATGTCTGGGCATTGAAAAGTTAGATATTTATTTTATTGTAATCTCCACAGTCTGAGCTTGTTTGAACTTGTCCTTCTTGAGAAAGCTTTCCAGATATTCAAAGGGAATTGAGTGTTGTGGTCTAAGTCTTTGACCACATCAGCACTAGAGGTACCCCAAGCCCAGTAATGCTGTGACTCTTGCAGACTCCTGGTGGTACCACCTTGGTGGACTTGGGTAAGATACAGGAGAATTCCCTGGATTACCAGGCAAAGTCTCTCACTCCCTTCCCTCACTCTCTGTGCTGGGCTGCTGGAGTTGGGGGAGGAGTGATGTGGGCACTCCCTCTCGGCCACCAGCACCAGTCTCACCCAGAGCCCGTGAGACCCAGAGTCTCACACTTGAAGCCAATCCAGTCTCACCCAGAGCCCATGTTGACTGTCGCCCACCTACCTCTGGTATTTGTTAAAACCCCAGGGCTCTTTAGTCAGCAGGTGGTGAATCCTGCCAGGACTGTGTCCTTCCCTTCAGGCAGCATGTTTCCTTCTGGCCCAGAGTGGGTCCAGAAATGCTCTCTAGGAACTAAGGCCTGGACTCAGGTGCTTCAGGAGTCTGCTTGGTACTTATTTTACTATAGCTGAGCTGGTACCCAATTTGCCAAGCAGAGTCCTCTGTGCTCTTCCCTTTCCT